TGGGCTCTCTGGACCTCGACTTGCTCAGGGCCTCGGTTCGGGCCTTGAAAGGGGGGTGCAAGTTGATTCGGGTTCTTGAGGTTGCCAAGTATCTCGGGATTTTCATCGGGCGCGGTGCCCATTCTGTTGCGTGGAGCGAAGTACTGCCCAAGTTTCAACACCGCGATCGCCTTACTAGGCAGCTGGGCATTGGATTAACGCAGCCGGTGGTCGCATTTAACGCCATGTGCTCGTCTGTCCGCTCCTTTACCATGCAACTACATCCTGTCTCGTCTACTCCTTGCTCACGCCTACCGAGAAACAGTTATGTACCTCACGGCAGACCCTCGGCAAGCGATTTCGTACGGTTTGTGCGCGCAGTTGACTGCCTTTGCACCTCCCTGTGGAATTCCCTGACATCTACGCCCTCGCACGCGCCACATGTCTTCGATATATCATCGCACATGACTCTTTCGGTGCTTTGGTTGAGTTCTTTGAAACCCTCTCGGACGACCCCGAGCACGTCGTTGCACGTATGTGTGGTGGGTGGTGGGAGTCTTCTTTTATTGCATATATGCGTAAACGGTATCGATGGTATTTCGCTCTTCCGACGTTCTCGAACCACTCGTCTGACTTCGTTCGCGTCTCCGACACTCACAAGTTCCTCCAGCGTAAATTGTATCACATGTTCTGGGAACGGGCCACTTACCGTGAGCACCCCGAGCAGATTCTCCTCCGCCGTGTACTTCGGTGGTATCCGCAGGCAACGGAAGCGATGATATATCGGTTCTGTATTAATGCGTTCTATGTGATCCGACGGACACAGCCGTACCTGGTCATTGCTCCGCTCAGGGTCCTCACTCGTGCGGTGTGTACATCGTCGCGCTTTCATTCCGCTCCTCAAGGGTGCCTCTGGGGTTGCCCTTCGTCTCCTGGGGTCGACCTCGGCTCGGTTGACCACTACGTGCGTTGTCCTCGTCTTCACCACTTCTTCGCTCGTTGGCTGGGACAGCTTCTTACTTCGTCGACGTCTATTTCTGATGAACCCCCTGGCTCTCCTCCCCCTGCTGCTTTCACCCTCACCATGCTCGTCGAATGTTCTCTTTGCGGCTTGCATCGGTGCTTTCCTTTCGGCTCACCCGGCCAGGAGGAAGGGCCCCCCTGGCACCCCTGAGGAACACTTCGAAGCGCGGCTGCGAGTAACCTCGCGCCGCCACCCTTATATTGCTCGCACTTGGCGGGCTCAGGCGGCTGTGCAGTTCTCCTCCCCCCCTTCCCCTCGCGTGCGCGCGCAAACAGATGATCCGAGGCCTCGGCGGTGACGCTCCGCTGCTCGCAGGGGGCGGTGGCTTGAGGGTGCTCAGTAGGCCTACGCCTGCAATTTTGTTGCCCCTGCCCCCCTGCCCGTCTTTTCCTTGTCTTTTCTTTACTTGCTCCTCTGCCGTGACGTGGGGCATCGCTGCGGGGGTGCGAGGGTCACAGCTCATCGCAGTCTGTCACCAGTGCCTGTTTCTCGCCGCTGTTGGCCTCTGTCCCCGTGGAGGGATGGAGGCCACGAGCTTGTGGTCGACTCGTTGCCAATTTGCCGAAGGCCAGAGGACCCTCTGGGACCCCCGCAGCGCCACCCTGGGCTCAAAAAGACAGGGCCTCCAGGATGGCCACGTAGGCCCAAGATGGCCTCCAAGATGGTCCAAGATGGCCTCCAAGTCCACCCAAGATGGTCCAAGACGGCCTCCGAGACGGCCCAAGAAGGCCCACGATACCTCAAAGTTCGCCTAAGACGCCTCCGAGACGGCCCAAGAGGCCTCCAAGAGGTTCTCCAGGAGGGCCCGAAAAGGCCAAAATCGTCCACTTGACGGTGGTTTTCGAAGGGTTTTTTTTTTCCGGCTTCCCGACGCTCCAAGACAGCCCAGGAGGCCTCCAACAGCGCCCCAAGACGGCCCAAGAGGCCTCCAGAAACGCCCGAAGACGGCCCAAGACTGCCCCAAGACAGCCGCAAGAGGGCCCAATCACGGCCCGACAGGCCTCCAAGACGCCCAAGATGGCCTCCAAGACGGCGGCAAGACGGCCCCAAAATGGCCCGCGACACCTCCAAGACGTCTCCCAAGAAGGCCCGAAAAAGGGCCAAGACGTCCTCCAAAAGACCTTCAAGATGCCCACGTGTTCCCCGAAGGCTTTCCACCGACTCGGGGAACACATGGTCCGATCGCTTGGCAGGTCTGGCCTCAACGTTCGGCCACATAGGCGCTTCCACAAAGGCAGGGGACGGCGGTGATTCGCCGTAGGCGTCTTCGATCGTTTTTGGGGGAAGAAAAACCAAGACCAAAAACGGAAGCGTCTAGCACGCCAGGCACTTCTGTGACAAGCAGAGGGGGCGGCTTATCGAAGACGCCTACGGCGAATCACCGCCGCCCCCTGGCTGGGCCGAAGCCCCACGGGGGAGTTCTTTTGGAAAAGGAACCAACACCAAAAGCGAAATGACTCAGCACGGCAGGCACCCCTGTGATGAATCGGGTATGAAGCCTGGGAGGTTTCTCGGAGGCCTCTTGGGGGTAAATCGGACGCCTCTTGGGGGCCGTTTTGGAGCTTCTTTGGGGCCCTTTGGGGCCTCTTAATGCCCTCCTGGGCGCCTCTTGGGGCCTCTTGGGGCGAAAAGCTCGGATGTTCGGTTCGCGTTCCTTCTTTGGGGCCCTTTGGGCCGTTTTGAAGCCCTCTTGGGCTGTTTTGGGGCCTCTCGGGCCGTCTTGGGACGGTCTTGGGGGCCTCTAGGGCCGTCTGGGAGCGTCGGGAAGCCGGAAAGGAGAAAACGCCAGCATCCTTCACACATTTAAGGAGCATCCATGATCTTGGCCTTTGGGGGCCCTATTGGGAGGCCTCCTTGGGAGTCTTGGAGGCCTCTTGGGCCGTCTGGGGGTCATCTTGAGCGCCTCGGAGCGATCGTTCGGCGATTCGGGGCCCCCTTGGACCGTCTCGGGGCTTCTTGGGCCCTCTTGGCACGTCTTGGGGCCAGAACAAGTCACGCGAGAAGACGCTGGGAACGCCAGGGGAACCGCGACAAAAACTCGTAGATTTGACCATTTGGCGTCCGGGCCCTTAATTAAGACTCGCCCACTCCGTGCCCAGCGCCACGGTGGCGGAACAAGTCCATTTAATTGTATACATACAAGATAGCGTGTAAATCGGATTCGCGTGAAGAAACAGGACGGACATCAGATATACAACATCCCAAATCGGATTCGCGCGGAGGAAATTCTGATCCGCCGCAATCTAGTTTCAACACCAAATTTCGATCCACACCAACTCAACTGGATCCGCCAATATCTATGTCATGCTCGCTGGCGCAAGATCTCAAGGCATCATGTCCGTGTCCAAGAGGAAACACTTTTTTCCTGAGGATGTGCTGTAAACATGTTGCTGCTGCTGTCCCTTTTTTAACCCCACTGGGATGGGGGGGCTGCCACATCTATCTGCCGACCACCCTGTAGGGGATTCGCGCAGTGCTCGAAGACGACCCCAAACGGCTCGAAGACTGCACATCTCGGCACATTTGGGCCCTAAGATCACAGGGCTCCATGAGAGTCCAAGAGAGCCCACGGGGACCCCAAGGCGACTCCAAAACAACCCAAGTCGACCGAAGGAGGCGCAAAGCATGGAATGCGACAACCGCAAAATCATTGAACAACATGTTGACATCAATGATCTTACCTTACGAAGGCCCACTGTCTTGACCCGTCGCGGGCTGCCCAGGAGCATTACTGTCTTTGAGCTGTCTGGGCCAGTTTGACGGCAACTAGAATTATTGCGAAGGCCTTGCGGGCGTTTCCGCCGACTCTCAGAAGTGAACAGCTTGGGGGCAAAAGGCGGCTTGGAAGCGGGGCGGGGGCAAACGTCGGCTTCAAGTTTGTTGGCGAACATGTATAGGTCCTCGGCGCATCCCGCCACTGCGCAGGAGTCGTGTTCCAGAGCCCTTGAGGGCATTCGGGGGGATCTTGGGGCGTTTGTTGGGGAGCTTCTGGGGCCCTTTGGCCAAACTATGTGCGTTCTGGGGCCTTTGGGGGTCTCTTTGGGCTTCCTGGGGGTCTGAGGACCATGTTGGAAGGGTTGGCTTCCAGCGATGCGACAGTGGCGTACTTTTTTGGGGGCCCAATTGGGGCCTTCTTGGGCCTCTTGGGGTTTGCAGGCTGGTCTTGGGGATTTCTTGGGCCGTCTTGGACGCTCTTGCGACCGATGCGGCGAGAATGCTTTGATCACCCCGAAACTCGAGAGATTTAGGATCTGTCGGCCTCTTGGGCGGGCCCCTGGGACATCCTAGACGGCCCGCGAGACTGCAAGCAGTCCGAGGCTGGTACCAGGAGGGCTCTACCGGGCCCAGGTGGCGTAAAGATCGCTAGAGCCGCTACAGGGAGGGGCAGTGCGGGGAGGCGCACCCCCCCCGACGGACCTCCGCTGCGACCCCCCCCGGGGCCTCCTCCAGGACCCCCCACCCCGGGCAGGGAAGGAGCTATACCCTTCGACTCGATGACGACTTTTGGTTCGATTCCCTTCGGGCCGCCGGGCTTGGAGAGCCCCAGGTGGCCGCAGGGAAAGGGGTGAAAGCGTCCTCCAGGACCACCCCTAGACGTGATGGAAGAGAGGAAGGGTAGGCCCTCCTCCTCCTGCTCCTTCTCCTCCTCCTGCTCCTCCTCCTCCTCCTGGTGACGTGGAAGGAGTCGTCATGAAGCTCCTGGGCCATGGACTGGTAGATCGCCTTCTGGACGGGGACGCTGTCGCGTCCCTGGGAACGCCTCGCGTGCTGCTCGATCTCCCTCCGGGCCTTGTTGAGACTAGCTGCCGCGCGAACGCCGTTCCACGTCACCATGGGGAAGAGATTGGAGAAATGGCTGGCTGAAGATGGCGAGGTGGTACCCGGAGACCTCCAGGAACGGTGGCATCGTCTCCGCACCACCCTCGCTACCCTGAAGCCTGGGGTGTGCTGGGCGGTGGTGAAAACCTTGGCTGGAGCATGGCCAACAAGCCACCGAATGCACGTGTTAGACGAGCGCCTGACGTCCAGGTTCGGCTGCCAGGCCGAGGACGACATATGCCATTACCTACGATGCCCGCGCGCTTGGCATTTAGTCTCCCTCCCGAGATGGATCCCTTCCGCACGACTGATTGTCCGACTCGGCCTCGGGCTTCCGGAGGACCAGATCGAGGATGATGAGCTTCAGCGGGCGGCAGTGCGCAGAGCTTTGATGTACCACCTGTACAACATCATCCGTCACGAAATCGCAGACAACACTTATGACTACAACATGCACACCAGTGCCCTGAGTGCTGCCCGGCAGCGCGTCTAGGCCTGGAGTTGCCTCCCTGGGCTTCGTGTCCTCCTCCTCCTCCTCCCTCATCCTCCCTCTCCTACCTATGTTAGTGGTGGTGGAAGATCGGCCCATTCAGGCGACCACCCAGGCCCCCCCCGCACACGTGCTGACAGGGTCGGCTGATTTCGAGAGGGCCAGCGCCAGTAGCCGGCGCCCCCTCTCCCCCAAACGGCCGTATTCTGTGCGCAGTGGGCCGTTTTGGGCGTTTGGGGTACCCTTGGGGCGTCCTGGAATCCTCTGCGGGTTTACGTAGGCTATTTGGCGGATCCTGGAGTGACGCAGTCGAAACCGCGACCAAGCGAACCACATTGGACACGAATGGTGAGTCCGTAGTTTTGCCCTCTGGGCATCTTGTTTGAGCGCCTCTTGGCGCCTTCTTGGGCAGTTTGGGCAGTCCAGGAACCGTCGCAGGCCGTCTCGGAATCGACCGTCTGTGAGCCATGTGGAGCAATTCGAAGGCGTCTGGGAGCCCTTCTGGAGTATACGAGGCCGTCGAGACCAGAAGCCGGGACCTGGCGCCAGAATCATTGGTTGGGACCACCGCCCCATTGGAATCGGCTGGTCTCACGGGGGGGCCAGAAATTGTCACACACGCCGGATGAACCCAAAGAGATCTGCAAATTTGAGGGCGGTTCCAGTCATGTGTGTCATTGATCGTCGACTCGGCTGTAGTTAACTCGGGTGGTATTCGTTGCCTTCTCGCGGGCCCACTCACCTTTGCCCGGGTCGTGATCGTGCCCCCGAGGACAACCTGGGAATTTTGTGTTGGCTGCGACCCGGCCGTCTGGTAACGGCTCCCTAGCGCGCCAGCGGTTTTTCCGTCAAGGACCGCCGCCCAGCGCTGAAGGACACGGCTGCATTGTTTGCCCATTTGGTATATTGTTTCTTACATGCCCACCGGCAAGTTTTCTTTCCGAGCGCCTCCCACGAGGAGATAGGAGGAGGAAGAGGAGGAGGAGGTGGCGGGGGAAGGGGAGGAGCATGAGGAGGAAAGGAGGAGGAGGAGGAGGAGGAGGAGGAGGAGGGGGAGGGGTGGAGGAGGAGGAGAAGGAGGAGGAGGTGGAGGAGGATAATTGTCCCGAGAAGGATGAGCATGATGGGCAGAAGGAGGAGGAGGGAGGAGGAGGAGGAGAAGGCGGAGGAGGAGGGGGAGGGGTGGAGGAGGAGGCGAAGGAGGAGGAGGAGGAGGAGGAGGAGGAGGTGGAGGAGGATAAGTGTCCCGAGAAGGATGAGCATGATGGGCAGAAGGAGGAGGGGAGGAGGAGGAGGAGGATGAGGAGAAGAAGGAGGAAGAGGAGGAGGAGGAGGAGGAGGAGGACGAGGAGGAGGAGGAGGAGAGGGAGGAGGACGGACCACCCCATCCTCGAAGCCGCAGGAGTATGTATGCCCGTCCTGCCAGTCCACGAAGACGGCTTACGTCGAGCTGCAGACTGGCTGGCACAGCGATCACCAGGATGCCGCTGCACTTAGGCCACGGTACATGGGGTCGAAGGTTCGTGCCGCATCGCCGATGCATCGGCAATGCGGCACGCTCAGGAGCCCGTTCTTCTCCATCCCGCCGTCGATCCACTGGCGATGCGGCGCGATCCTCCGACCCCATCTGCTCCAGCCCCATCTGGGAGGCCTTCGACGGGGAGTGGATCGGAGGAAGGAGATGCGACACCAACACCACCAGGTGGGCCACCTCCAGCGAGGAGGTCCGCGGCGAGCTGGAGGCTGGGGATGTCTCGAGCGCTCGGGGGAGACCACACCACTCAGGGAGACCCCCCCCGTGCTCCTCGCATCTCCACGCCCTGGTGGTGTTGGTGTCGCCTCTTCCTTTTTCCCAGTGGAGGGAGGGACGCTCACATCGGGGCGCCGCGACGGAGCCCCGACGAGCTTCGCTGCTCCTCCTCCTCCTCCTCCTCCTCCTCCTCCTCCTCCTCCTCCTCTCCCTCCTTCTCCTCCTCCTCCTCCTCGTCCTCCTCACTTCTCCTTCTCCTCCTCCTCTTTCTCCTCCTCCTCCTCCTCGCGACAGAGTCCCGACGAGCTTCTCTGCACATGCTCGGGCCCCCGGCCTCCCCGCGAGAGCAGCCAGGACGCCTCGCCCCGGAGGGGGGGCCTCGCCTTCGGCGCCGCCTCGCCCCTCGGCGGAGGCCGGCGTGAGAGGCTGGCGGCAGCGGAGTGGCGGCGGGCCCACTGGCGGACGCCAGCGGAAGGTCGGGCGCATGGCCCCCTCTTGAAGTGGATGATGGGCCCGTCTTCCACCACCACCACCATAAGTTGGAGGGGGAAAAAAGGAGGAGGAGAAGGAGCAGAAGGAGGAGGAGGAGAAAGAGGAGGACGAGGAGGAGGATGAGGAGGACGACGAAGAGAAGCAGGAGGAGGAGGAGGAGGAGGACCCCCTCCCCCTCCAACTTATGGTGGTGGTGGTGGTGGTGGTGGTGGAGGAAAACAAGCCCATCAGTGGAAACCCATGCAAAGAAACACCAAGCTTGCCTGCAGGATGCCCTGGGTATCCTGGATTTGGATGGTGTTCCTATGGAGAGCGTGTCGTTCCCACGCCAAACATCAGTGGACGTCCAGGGGTCCCAGAGTTGGGTTTCTTGTGTAAGGGTTCTTGTGGGCTGGCCTAAATAGTTTCGAGCACCAAGAATGTACCGAAACTGGAGGGTTGTCGGGCCCTGGGAGGCGATACTCGTTTGACACTGTTTCGATCCTTGGGTGCTCGGAATCATTTCTGGGCTGTGGTCCTTAGGTGCGATGGGAGCAATGCGAGCCCCCCCTCCCCTTCCCCCCAAGGGCGCGCCGCCGCGTGATGGTCCTGGGGCCCGAAAGCGGGCGAAAGCACCTGGCGACAACCGAAACACTGCAGCACTCGAAGCTGAGTCCACCGGCAGTGGGATGCGCCTGCCGGGGCCCGCGAGGGACCCGCTCCGCACAGCCACCGGCGGAGGCGAAAGTGAGACGCCAACATGTGGAAGACTGGCACGCAGAGAGTTGCAGCAAGGACCGCGACTGGCAACGGGCGAACATGAGATCGCCCAGCGGTGGCGCAATACTTGGCTATCTGAACGCATCTCTTCCTGGGCCTTCATTTCATTACGGTAGAGGGAAACAGTTACGGAACACTCCCCCTCCCCCCAAGCTCAAAGTTGGCACGCGCAAGGAAAGGCTGCGGTCGAGGCGCAACTCATCAGACCCACCGCCAATTTTGAACATTGGGGGGAGGGGGTTGCGTTGACAGATGAATGTGGAATGGGTGTTCGCTATTTTTCCGAGGCCTGTATCACATGTGCAGTTTCGTAATTGCTTTACATGCCGCTCCTCTCGAGGCCGGAAATGCTCCCGACATGATGCATGATGCACCATCGTGGGCGGCTGACCTCTTTGTGCGCGACGTACTGCCCAGAGATTTCCAGGGCAGGTTTGTCCGATTTGCTGACACTTCTGTACAACAACGCTCGCTTCGCGAATCGCACCTTCAAAGTTGTTCTTATGATATGCGTGAGTAGGTGAGCTCCTGTGTGTCGAGTAAGAGGTGTGATAGATGCTAGGGGTGTAGATGTGCGGTCGTTGTAGATGTATCTGTGATACAAAAAGGGCGTCCCTGCCGACCCGTGGGAAACCCGTTCAGCGAAGTGACGGATTAGACCCCGTCCAAGGCCCATCGGCCACGAGGCCAGGACAGCTACGCACAACTACAAGAACCATTCGGGCGACTTGGCCCTGGGGGTACGGCTGGTATCCGACCGCCTCTCAGGCCCAGGTCGCACGGGGGTCAGCGACACCTTGAGGGTGGCTGGTATCTGGCCGCCCCCTCGCTTCGCGGAGCCCCTGAAGCGCAGCATGCAGCAGGCCGTAGCATCAGCACGACTGCGGATGGCGCAAGGCACGGGCAACGCACCGCAGCCATCTTGGCGCAAGAACCGCCAGATCTCGGGCTTGGTGCGAAGGGGTGTCGGGGAGGGGCTCTTCGGGCGCACTCTAGGTCCTCGATCTTTGTACCGGGAGGGCATTTCTTGGGGCCCGTAGGCGTAGGCCCTAGGCGCGGCCATGTCCACTGGGGATTTGATCGGCTGGGCCTTCCGATGCCTCGTGGGAGTCTCTGATGAAGCCTCCTGGTCAATCCCGAGCCCGTGACACCACCTGATGCTTCCCGGGGGCCTCCCGGGAGGCCTTCGAAGCCCTCCCAGGGTCTCTTGAGTGTTCCTGTTCACCTTTCCGCAGCCGTCCTTTTGCTACTCAGGCCATCCGCACTCGGGCGAGCGGGCCGATGACTCACCCGGCCCAGGCCGGGGCAGAGCCGGAGGCATGCAGCAAGCCGCCTGGCCTGGGCGTGCTCCCCCCGTTGGCCGCAGCCGAGAGGCACGACAGCCGCCGGCCCGATCGGAGCGAGCCATGTATCCGCCTGTCGCTCGACAGCGCCGCGCCGACGACTCTGCCGGAGTCCCCCGCCAGCAGCCCGTCGGCTCGGGCGCTCCGCGGTTCCCAGGAGCGGGGGTCAACCCCTGTCCACCGCGCCAGGTCCTGGCCAGGCCGCTCCTGGGCTACGGTGGAAACCCATGCCGAGAAGCACCCTGCTCGCCTCCAGGATGCCCAGGGTTTCTTGGTTTCAGATGGTTTTGCTATGGAGAGCGCGACGTTCCCACGCCAAGCATCAGTGGACGTCCTGGGGTGTCAGGGTTGGGTTTCTTGTGGCAGGTTTCTCGTGGTCGAGCTCCTGACCGTACTGATCGGTACACGCGCCCTCCCGGCTTGGCCAGGGGGGCGTGTGCGCCGATCCTGAGCCTGGGCGTCGGTGGATCCAGTGGAGGCGCTCCCCGAAAAGGGCTCGCCGGCCACGTCGCCGAGGCGCCTGCCCCGGGCCAGCAGCCTGCCGCAGCTCCGCGGGGCGCTGGCGGCGCATCGCCGCTCGGGCCGCGGGCGGGCCGTCGGGCAGCCCCCTCGGCGCAAGACCAGCAGCATGCCGGGCCTCGGCGGCGGTGCTCGGCGGAGGAAGACTGGTCGGCCCTGGGGGGGGCTCCGTCGCCACGGCTGGACGCAGCTCGGCAGCCTGGGGCGCTTGGGCCCCGGGAGGGGTCCGGGGACCGATCTCGAGCTGCGGGTGCCTCAGCGCGCCCTGCTACGGGAAGACGTGCCCACGTCGATGCCCTTGCATCGTGCTCGCCCGTCTCGGCCTCCTCAGTGGGGGCCCTCGTCGCCACGGCCAGGCTCGCCTCGGGCTCCCAGCTCACAGAGGTCTCTTGGAGGGGTCTGGGGACCGGTCGCGCCGGCACCTCTCCTTCTGTCCCCCGAGGTGCTGCGGGCAGAGGCCGCATGGCTTTCGAGATCCTGCACCTCAGGAGCAGGATGGCCTGCATCTACGCGCCGGCCGACTCGTGGCAGCTGCGCCGCGCCGGCTCCACGGCCCTGCTCGTCAGCCCCAGAGATTCCGAGGAGGGCCGGGGCACGCCTTCCGACGGGCTGCCTCGCACGCGCGGGACTCAGAGCGTGATTCTGGGCGCGGAGGGGGGGGGCCAGGCGCCCGGGTCCCAGCGGAGGCGCGTTGAGTTCTCACCGTCCTTCCTGAACAGTGCCCGTGCAGCGACGCCATACTCCAGCCAGTATGGTGTCCACCCGAGCTTCTTCAACTTCGACAGGGACGGCGCGATGCGGCTCACCGACTCGGGCATCGCGGAAAACATGCGGCGCAAGGAGCAGGGCTTGGATCCGTTGATGTTGGACGGTGCAGAGGCGTTTTGAGGCATTCCCTTGCGAATCCAGTCTTCTTCGCTTTTGGTGTCGCCAGCGCACATGCGGCAAGCTGGCAGTGTCTCCTCAACCACAATCGCCTCATTTTTCCTCTGAAGCTCTAGGCCGCTGGGCCTCTTCTGCTTACCATGTTCTGCAATACACGGCGACTGTCGATGATGTTGTGATCTCCTCTCCATTCGATGGCTGCGGCTATCGGGACCAGTGGAGCCACCTCGCCACATACAGTCAACCCGCATAGTAAGGACGGGCAACCCTCCCAAGGGTATCCTTGCTTCCTTGCCTCCTCGGTCCATCCTTCGCCGCTTTCGCTGGCCGCGCCCCGCTCGAAAAACTTCGAAGTGGGCGTCCAATGCCCTCGCATCCTTATCGCGCATCCGTACTATACTGGTTGACTGTGACATTAAGCGGACGTTGTCTCAGATGGTGTCCACGCGGCTCTACAGGCTTGCGCCACCTCCGCCGACCCCTCTGATGTCGTCGGGGGCCTTCTATCCAAGACGCCTACGGCGAATCACCGCCGCCCCCTGCCCCTTTGGAAGCGCCTCTGTGGCCGACAGCTGGGCCAGAGCTTGGCCAAGCTATCGGGCCAGTTGTTCCCCGAGTCGGTTTGGAAAGACTTCGGGGAACGCGTGGGGGAGCAAGAAGAGGAGGGGGAGGATGAGGAAAAAGAGGAGGAGGAGGAGGAAGAGGAGGAGGAGGAGGAGGAGAAGAGGAGGACGAGGAGAAGAGGAGGAGGAGGGGCCTCTTGGGCGCCTCTTGGGGCACTCTTGGGGCACTCTTGGGGCCTCCTGGGGGCTTCCTGGGGGCCTCTTGGAGGGTTTTGGGGGGCCTTTGAGGGCTTCTTGGGGGCCTCTTTGGCAGTCTCAGGGCGTTCCTGGCTTGTCTGACGCCGTCGGGAGTCGTCTTGGGGGCCTGTCTGGGTCGTCTTGGAGCCCTCTTGGGGCATATCAGAGGTTCTTAGAGGCCATATTGGGCGTTCTTGTAGGCCTCTTGGGCCGTTTTGGGGCCCTCTTGGGGGCCTTTTGGGTAGTCATGGGGCTATCTTGGAGGCCTCTTGGGCGATCTTGGGTGCTTCTTGCGCCGTCTTGAGCCGTCGGAATGCCGAGAAGAAGCAAATGCCAAAATCTGTCAAAAACCTAAGGACAATCAATGATTTTGACCTCTTCGGGCCCTCCTGGAAGACCTCCTGGACGCCTTTTGGGCCGTCTTGGAGGCCTCTTGGCATCTTGGGGGCCTTTTGGGCCGTCTTGGGCCATCTTGAGGCCATCTTAGGCCGTCTTGGGTGCATCTTGGGCCGTCGTGGAGGCATCTTAGATGCCATTTTGGCCGTTTTGGAGGTCTCTTGGGCCTTCTTGGTGCCGTCTTGGGGGCCTCTTGGGCCGTCATGGGGCCATCTTGGCGTCGTGGGCGATCTTGGGGGCCTCTTGGGCCGTCCTGAGCCGTCGGAAGGCCGAAAAGGCGCAAGTGCCAAAGTCCTTTTTAAACAAAACTACGGAAAATCAATGAGTTTGGCCTCTTCAGGCCCTCCTGAAGGACCTCTTGGAGGCCTCTTGGGCCGTCTTGGCGGCCTCTTGGGGGCCTCGTGGGTCGTCTTAGGCCATCTGGAGGCCATCTCAGGCCGTCTCGGGTGCATCTTGGGCCGTCGTGGAGGTATCTTGGGGCCATCTCAGTCGTCTTGGAGGCCATCTTGGGCGTCTTGGGCGATCTTGGAGGCCATCTTGGGCCGTCTTGGAGCCGCCTGGAGCAGGAAAAACCCTCGGCAACCACCTCTGGAAGAACTTTCCGGGTGGTCGGCGGGACGGGCCGAAGCCCCAGGGGGAGTTTTTTGGAAAAAGAGCCCAAATCAAAACCGAAAGGCTGCAGCACGCTGGGCACCCCTTGTTGCAAGCCAGCAGGGGGCGGCAGATCGAAGGGCCCTCGGCCCGTCCCGCCACCGTGCGCGGGTTTTGGGTCAGAGTCCCCAGGGGGTGCTTTGTGGGGGTTCTGAGCGCTCTCGGGAGGCTGCGTGGGGCAGTGCCAGAAGCGCCAGGATGCCGCCAGCCAGAACGTGACCGTCTTCAAACAGGTTTTTCCGGCTAGGGGTCGCCAGGTGCCGGGGAGGGGGGGGGGTAAAATTCCCGGTTTGGGGTCCAAGGGGAGGGGGTATAGGCTAGGGTGGAAGAATCTTTCACGCTTAGCGACCCCAAGCAGTGCAAGTCGCGCGCGTGAGACCCGCTGAAGTGGTTGTGGTAGCGCGCAAGTACTCGGGGCCGCAGGGGGGAACAGAAGGAGGAAGCGAATATGGAGGAGGAGGAGGAGGAGGAGGAGGAGGAGGAGGAGGAGGAGGAGGATGGGAAGTGAGGATTTCACGCAGACCTCGGGTGGCCGTTCAAGACCATCCTGGCACCTCCGGAACGCATGTTTTCACCCTGGATCTGGAGACCCTGTGCCAGCTTCGGTACCGTGAAATCTTTCATGGCCTTCGGTCCATCCCGACATGGCTTTGGGTCAGAATGCCGAGGATTTTCGTGGGACCGCTCTCGGGGGACTCGGACTAGGGGAGGGGCAGTGACAGAGTCCTGAGGGATGCTTGTTGGGGTCCTTGTGTTTTCCGCGGCTGGTGCTCTCAGCGTTCGCCGTGCACGCATGAGGACACGGGCGAAAACCCATGTTCACAAACAGCGGGCAGCTGTTGAAACATCAGGGGAGTGACTGTCGAAGACGCCTGCGGCTAATCACCGCCGCACCCTGCCTTTTGGAATCGCCCATTCGGCCGACCGCTGTGGCCAGAGCTCTGCCAAGCTATCGGAGCATGTGCTCCCCCAGCCGTTGTGGAAACCCTTCGGGGAACACGCGGGGGAGAAAGAAGAAGCGGAGGACAGGGAGGAAACATAGAGAGAAGGAGAAATCGGAGGAGGAGGAGGAGGTGGAGGAGGGCAGGAGGATGAGGAGGAAGAGGTGGAGGAGGCTGATGATGATGCTGATGATTATGATGATGATGGTGATGATGGTGATGATGATGCTGATGATGATTTTACTGATTATGCTGATGCTGATGATGATGGTGACAAGGATGCTAATGATGATGCTGATGATGATGATGATGCTGTTGATGATGATGATGCTGATGATGATGCTGATACTGATGATGATGACGACGATGATGACGATGATGATGCTGCTGCTGATGATGCTGCTGCTGATGATGATGATGATGATGATGATGATGGTGGTGGTGACGACGATGATGATGATGATGATGATGATGATGATGCTGATGATGATGATGATGATGATGATGATGATGATGATGATGATGATGGTGATGATGAGGAGGAGAAGGAGGAGGAGGAGGAGGAGGCGGAGGCGGAGGCGGAGGCGGAGGAGGAGGAGGAGGAGGAGGAGGAGGAGGAGGAGGAGGACACGAGGGGCCTCCTGGGAGCTTTCTGCGGGCCTGTTGGAGGCCTCTCGAAAGCGTCCTTGGGCCTCTGGGGGGCCTTGTGGAGCTTCTTGGGGGCCTCTTGGGCCGTCTTAGGGCGTTCCAGGCCCGCCTGACGCTGTCGGAAGCCGGCTTGGATGCCTCTTTGAACCGACTTGGGGTCCTTTTGGGACGCGTAAGGGCCGTCTTGGAAGCCATTTTGGGCATCTTGGAGGCCCCTTGGGCCGTCCCCAGGCCCTCGTGGGGCCGTCTTGGAGGCTTCTTGGGCGTCTTGGGGTCATCTTGGAGGCCTTTTGGGGCATCTTGGGGCGTGCTTGTGGGCCCCTTGGGCCATCTTCGGCCGTCGGAAGGCCGAACAGAAGAGGTCACAATGTTCCAAGCACCTGAGGCAAATCAATGGTTTGGCTTTCTCCGGCCCTCCAGGAGGACCTCTTGGAGGCCTCGGGGGGCGTCTTGGAGGCCTCTTGGTGGGCTGTCTTGGGCCGCCTTGGAGGCTTATTGTGCGGACTTGGGGACGCATCTTGGACCCTCTTTGGCCGTCTAAGAAGCCATCTTGGATCATTCGGGGCCGTCTTAGAGGACATCTTGGGCGTCTTGGAGGCCCCTTGGGCCGTCTTCAGGCCCTCTTGGGGCCGTCTTGGAGGCTTCTTGGGGCGTCTTGGGGTCATCTTGTTGGCCTTTGGAACCGTCTTGGGGCGATCTTGGGGCGATCTTGGGAGCCTATTGTGCCGTCCTGGGCCGTCGGAAGGCCGAAAAGGAGCAACTGGCAAAGTCTTTCAAACACCTAAGGCGAATCAATGGTTTTGGCCTCCTCGGGTCCTCCTGGAGGACCTCTTGGCAAGCCAACTGGGGGTGGCGGATCGAATGACCTTCGGCCCATGCCGCTTCCGTGCCTGAGTTGTGAGTCTGAGGCCATTCGGGTGGCTGTTGGGGTCTCGTGTGAGGCCTCTCGGGGGCGCCTTAGAGGCAGCTTTGGGGCCTCTTCGGGGCCTCTTGGGGGGCTCTTGGCTGCCTTTTGGGACCCTCTTGGGGGGCTTCTCGGAGCAACCTAAGGGCGTCGTTCCCCTTTGGGCCCCCTCTTGGGGCCGTCCTGTTGCTCTCCTGGGCCGTCTTGAGGTTTTTGTTGGTCCGTTTTGGGGCCGTCTTGGGTCGTCTTGGAGCTCTCTTGGGGGCCTCTTGGGCCACCTTGAACGTAGTGAAAGCCGAAGGGGCAAATGTCCTAGAAATCGATGTTTGCTTCTTGGAGCGCTCTCGGGGGGTCTCTTGGAGGCCTCTGAGGGCGTCTTAGGGGCATCTTGGGCCGTCTGGAGGCCATTTTGGGCGTCATGGAACGATCTTTCGGCGACTCGGGGCCCTCTTGGAACGTCTTGAGGGCCTCTTGGGAGGCCTCGGGGGCTGTCTTGCAGCTCCAAAAAGAGCCCGGAGAGGGCATGACCCCCTCTGATGAGTTCGGCCAGGGGTTGCCAGACGCCAGGGGGGTGCGGGGGGAAATTCCTGGTTTGGGGTCCGGGGGTGGAGATCATAGGGGGGAAGAATATCACACGCATAGAACCCCCAAGGGGTCGGCGGATTATGCGTGGATGCTGGCTTTGATTTTGAATGAGACGCTTGTTAGCTGTCTTGCCACGACGCAGTTGCATGCATGTGACTGTGAGTGAGCTTTGCCAGCCCACAAGTTCGCCGCTCCTCTTAGCCTACGCTGTTCCTTGCCCGTTTTGTTTGCTGTTATTACAGCTGCGTGTCTATGCGTACGTCTCCCCGAGAACCCTTCCCGAGTGTTCGCTCGCCATGCGGCAGGGGTTTGCAATTACATGTTTGTTTTCCGCGGGGCACCCTGATGAAGCGAGAGGGCGGCCCGAAGATGCCAGGCAGCAGAGGAACTGAAGATGGGCATCGGAGGGTTGAGATCTGAGTCGTCGGCTCCCGTTGCAAGAGTGCCTTTGGCCGCGGCTCCTACATTGAGCCTCCCGTGCTTCGGGAATCCCTTGCCGAAGGTGCTCGACCCTGATCTCGGCGCTTCCCTCGGGCGCGACCATCTCGCCGAGGGCGGCAGGGGCAGCCTCGGCTCGGCCGCGGCGAGACCGCCTGCGAGCTTCTGGATATCGCCGCCACTTCTCTCTCTCTCTCTCGCTCTCTCTCTCGCTCGAAGAAACGAATCTGCATTCACATGGACTCTCGGCGGTCCGCGCGGCATGCTTGGCTCTGCGCTGCAACCCCTGGCGGCGCCTCCGGCGCCGCCCCCTCTGCGTACTCCGCACTCCGCGCGCCAGGGAGGCGGGGTCCGCGCGCCAGGGAGGCGGGGGGGGCCTCCTGGCCCGTGCCCCTGCTCCCCCCCCCCCCAGCGGTGCTGCTCCGTCCGCGCCAAGCTCGCGGTAGGGGCCACGGCTCGACCCCGCCTCCGGCCTCCAGCCTCCGGCCTCCTCCAGCCTCCGGCCTCCTCCTCCTCCTCCTCCTCCTCCTCCTCCTCCTCCTCCTCCTCCTCCTCCTCCTCCCCTCCTCCCCCTCCTCCTCCTCCTCCTCCTCCTCCTCCTCCTCCTCCTCCTCCTCCCCCTCCTCCCCCTCCTCCCCCTCCTCCTCCTCCTCCTCCTCCTCCTCCTCCTCCTCCTCCTTCTCCTCCTCCTCCTCCTCCTCCGCCCCACGTATGGCTCTGCAGGCCCGCCACGCCCACGAATTCCAGTCCCAAACTGCACTGCCAGTGGATCCAGAAACCCTCCCCCTCTCCATCCTCCTCCTCCTCCTCCTCCTCCTCTCCTCCTCCTCCTCCTCCTCCTCCTCCTCCTCCGCCTCCTCCTCCTCCTTCTCGTCCTCCTCCTCCACTCTTCGTCCCGCGATGTCCGCACGCAGTCCATTTTTTGCCATCTCGCGGGCCAATCGTTCAGCGCCCGGGCTCGCACATCGCAGGCTTTTTCGAGCGTTGTGTGCTCAGATGAGCTCGGCGCTCCTCGTTTTCCTCGCCGCTGCGCCCCCGGTGCGAAACGGTTCTATTCAGCGGCCGCTGCATGTATTGCACTCGTAAGTCGGTGGCCGACGAATGACGCCTGTGCAAGCGTGGAGATTCACAATTGCTGGACCAGGGGAAGGGGCATCACGTTTGTTCAAAGCGTAATCAGCTGAGTACTGACCCTACTGCTTGTGGCGCTCATGTGGAGACCGTGCGCATAAAGGAACGATTTCCACCAGCGAGCACGAATTGGCGCTCACCGCTGTGTTTGGCCGCCGGGAATCACTGTCTAGATCTGTTAATGGGCGTCCGAACTCCGAGCGCAGGCTCGCTTGATTCATTATCATGGCGCCAATATCGCAGAGCGGATTTCGTTCGGACAACAATGAATTGGCCCGGACTGTCCTGGAGTATTTCGTTCTGGAATTCGAAGTTCATATCGTGTGAATTGTTTGGGCCAGGAATGAAAGACTACAAACAATACACGTGACATTCAGTAGTTTTCCGCTCGCCGTTTCAGGGTTTTGCATCGACCGAAATCCACGCACAAGTCTGCTGCAGCACGTCTGCAAGGTCGGCGCAGTGATACTTCGAGCTTGCATTGAGCAGCGTTCTACTTATTTGGTTCTGTCGGGCGTATGCAGTCTCGCGACTGTCTGCCTCTTTCCACGCCTGCACCGCTCATGCGCGTATGAGTTCAACTTGTGGTCTTACCCTCATTGGGAGCGTCTCGTTTGCCTGAGCAGAGAGACCCAGGGCGTCCTCGAGCCCACTGGCCTGTTCTGGGCCCCCCTGGAGGTTCCCGCCGCTTGGGACCTTCTGGGCCTGCCTGGGCTCGCCTGGAGCCTCCCGAGAAGCCCTATCTGCTCCCTCCGGGCCTCTGGGGGCCCCCCGTGTCTCCTGGGTTCTCTCGTGCCCTCCCGAAGGCAGCCTGGGGTCTCCTGGCTCTTCTTGCGACGCCCTTGCGCACCCAGAGGGTTTCTGGTGCCTCCTTTGGCGCTCCCTGGCACTTTTCTCTCGTGGCCCCCTGGCCCTTCCAGACCTGTTCGACGGAGTGCCTTCTTCTGCTTGTGGGCGGTCGAGGGAGTGCATGTATGTGTGGGGGGGAGGGGGTCACAGGGGGTACAGCTGGCAGGAGGGTTCAGAACAGCTTCAGTCTCGGAGGGATGCCTGGAAACCTACCAATCCTCCCTAACCACCCCCACAACCCCCCTTGAGGGGAGGCTTCCGGGGGGAAGGCCCACAAACCACCTTGATCCCGACAAAAACCACCCTGGAGTGGAGGGCTTCTGGGATGAGAAGTCCACGAGCCCCCCCCCTAAGAACCCCCCCCAAACAAAAACTCGAACTCCTGTGAGGGGGGAGGGTCCTGGGGGAAAACCCACCACTCCCCCCTTTAACCCCACCAAGAACTCCCTTGAGGGGGGTTCCTAGGGGGAATACCCGCGTGCTCTTCTTTTGTTCGCTCCCCATCTCTGGATGTTCATATCGGTTCGGAGATCCCCACTGGGCGCACGTCCGTCGGGGATGGGGCTCGCGGTCTTGACCCACGTTCTTGTGGCCACGCTTCGACTGTACCCCGCCAAAGGTCCCATCACTCTCTGACCTTCCTTACACATTGTTCATTTCTGAGTATTCGAAGGTCATGAGATTTCTGGGGGCCCAGATCCTTTCATTTCTAATTGTTCTAGCCTGGGCCTCTTCCTGGCCACTGGGGGGCCAGGAACACCTAGAAACGAGCACAATTAGAAATGAGCGCGATTAGACATGACCGACGTGTACACCTTAGGCGATGCTTAAGAAAACTTAAGTTGTCGGCCAGAGTCTCGATTATTCTTAACGTTTCAATGTAAATCCTAAGATTTTGATAGAAATTGTGGGTTTTTATCCAAGTTCTGAGACCATGAAATTCTTAACCCATGATTTCTTAACCATTCCGCGTGGTGTACTTTTCAGTTGGGGGGGCGACCATCCCCCCCACGGAACGTCGGGGGTGGAAGGTCGTGCCCCCCCACCCCCCTGGGGCGCTGGCAGCCAACGGCGACGCTGACGACGACGAGCAGGACGAGCGGGACGACCACGACGGCGTTGACGACGCTGCCGCTGACGACGACCACGCTGACGCGGACGTCGGAAACTACCCTTGCAACGTCGACGAGCGAGCCAGCCAGCCCACCCACTTGGCCGTCCCGCCCGCCCGGTGCGTCTGCCAGAGTCTCGTCCGCCCGACCTGCCCGTTGGGGTTCGCCTGCCCGACCCGCCTGTTAGGGCCCCGCTCGAGTGCTCGAATGCCCGCCCGACTGCTTCACACTCCCCGCTCGACCTGTTAGGGTCTCGCCCGCCCGAAACGCCCGTTGGGATCCCACCCGCCCGACTGTGCCCGCCCCCTTTAGATGATGACGCTTGCGTCGTCATCCTTGTCGTCGATCGTCGTCGTCGTCGACGTCGTCGTCGTCGTCGGCGGCGGTAGCGTCGTCGTCGGCGACGTCGTCGTCGTCGTCGTCGTCGTCGTCATCCAGTGTCGTCGTCAGCGTCAGCGTCGCCGTCGTCGTTGTCGTCGTCAGCGTCAGCGTCGTCGCCTTCGTCATCATCGTCGTGGTGCATGTCGTCGTTTGCAGTCGCAGAAGGTATTTTCGAGAGGAGAATCCAGGTTCCAGCGAGGATTGGGTGAATTTGGCGATGCGCAGCGCCCGTGACAGATATTCCTTTTATGTTCGTACACACCCAGTGTACTGTTCGTGTACCGCGCTATACCCGTGCAACCTCAAGTTCGTGCCAACAGTATTTTCGCACAATCGGCGCGCTCTTGCAAGCTCGATGTCCGTGCCAACTCTGTGTTGGCACACGGCGCATGCTCGCGCAAACCCCATGCACAACGCGACACGAGAAGTCTGCGAGGGGTGCGCCGAGACGGTCTGGTCACAAAGTTGGGCCGTGCCCGCAGGGGCCGCAATTCGGCGGCAAGCGAGGGGGGGAAGTGAGAAGGAGGAGGCCTTCTCCGAATGTTCGGAAGCCTGCCGGCCCTCCGAGAAGCGCTCTGAGCCCTCTCCGAAGACAGGAGCACGCCTCAGAAGGCGCGGTGGCTCCTGAGAGAAGTCCCGCCGTCTTCTGAGAAGGCCCCCCTCCTCCTCACCTTCCCCCCCTCGCCCGCCGCCGAGCAGGGGCTTCTCGCAGCGCACGCGGGGCGCTGGAGGTGCAGAGGTCCGGGTGCAGCGTGCGGGCCTGCCCCTTGGGGCCGCGACCGGGGGCTCCCCCAAGGGGGGCGCGAGGAGCATGCGAGCGGCACGCCAGGAGGATACCGCACTGCCTGGCGGTCGCCGAGCTCCAAGTGGGCACAAGGGCGAGCACAGCTGAACGGAGGCAGGTGCTCAGCACCGCCCCCCTCGTTCAAAAGCAGGCCACCCCCCACCAAGGGGTTCGCGGAGGCGACCTGAGAACGAGTTAAAGATATGGAAATATGTAGGCGAGCGAAGCTCGCAATATGAATGAGACAGAGTCTGACACAGGACCCGACGCAGAACGGCGAGCCCTCGTCCTCCCCTGAAGGAGGGCGGCTCGGGCATCGGTCGGGGCGGCTGGCTTCCCAGCTGCCCCCGTGCCCAGTGCAGAAGTAAAGAGGAGGGGGGAAATGGGGGAGAAGGGCGGCGGCGGCGGGGGAACCCCAAGGCTCGGGTACAAAGGCAGGCTGCGTAACCTGCACCCCCGCGCCGACCGAACCCACAACCCCAGAAATGAAGAAAGAAGGAGGAGGGAAAGGAAAGGGGAGGTACCCCAAAGCTCGGGTACCACGGCAGGCTGCGTAACCTGCACCTCCCCAGGAAGTCCAAGCCACACGCGTGCGGCGCACCTTCCCCCACAATTGGGGTGCCTGACACACGTGCAAACACGCGTGCGCACAGCCGTACTTAGTATAAAACTGGGCGACGCCAGGACGACTCGGCAATGCCCACCCCTGGTGTAGCAAACGCCAGGACGATAGGCAAGCCTCATCCCTGGTGTGGGCCTGTCATTCAGACACGACAACGCAATATGTAGGCGAGCGGAGCTCGCAATATGGATTCCAGAGCGCTAGCCGAGGAGGAGGAGGAGGAGGAGGAGGAGGGGAGGAGGAGGAGGGGGAGGGGGAGGGGGAGGGGGAGGGGGGGGGGAGGGGGAGGGGGGGGGGGGGAGGGGGGGGGAGGGGGGAGGGGGAGGGGGAGGGGGAGGGGGGGAGGAGGAGGAGGAGGAGGAGGAGGAGGAGGAGGAGGAGGAGGAGGAGGGAGGAGGAGGAGGAGGAGGAGGAGGAGGAGGAGGGGGAGGGGGAGGGGGAGGGGGAGGAGGAGTTCATGCTTTTGCGCATTTCGTGGTCGGTGGTTTTGCGGCATCCGGGGGATCCCGGGGATCCGCATACGGGGCAAGGAGCGTGTGAGGAGTGTGCTTTCTCTGCAGGGTGAAGTCTGTCTGCAGGCGGAGTCGGACCTTGCTCCGTGAATTTGTTGCCCGATCCCTTGGCACCGTCTCGTCTGCAGAGGACCCAGCGTACGCGGCTGTGCGCCAGAACTGCCCACTTCAGATCGGTGGCGAGCGAGGGGGGGAAGTGAGAAGGAGAAGGTCTTATCAGAAGGAGGCGCGAGGGCTTCTGAGAAGTCCCACCGCCTTCTGAGAAGGCCTTCTCCTTCTCATTTCTCCCCTCGCGCGCCGCCAAAGAACGGTCCACTTACGAGTGTGCGGTCGTGCCCGCCATGACTGTATCTGGGCCCCTCTAACGGGCACGGGACGTGTGAGGGGTGCGGCCAGACGATCTGGCTGTAGCTCGTGGGCGGGCGCAACCGGGACATAGTTTTTGGGCTTCCCTTCCGTGCGCGAAGCGTGGTGTGCAGTGTGTGTCTGTGCCAAGGGCCAAGACGGGTCCGGGACCCTGACCAGTGCGAGCCCTCCCAGAGCAGGAGAAGGAACTTAACCTTAAGTCGGGCCTGCCCCTCTACAGGGGGGAATATTCAAGAATAGTTAGAAAATAGTGGGGGGACGATTTGTTTGGCATTGTTTGATTATTTTTTGTCGAAAATCCACCTGTAGGAGGACAGGCCCGAGTTAAACGTAGGCGGTTAGATGCCAAGCGAATGCAAACACGTGGCGGTGTGAGGAACGGGGCAGGAGACCGTTTTTGTTGTAAGATCTAGGCGACAACGGCCGGAGATCGGCCCTCTGCCCCCCCTCCGAATCACGCCGCGCTATTTTGCCTACGTGTGCAACGGCTTCCTACGGACTCTTCGGGGATCGCTTAAAGATCCCCAGAAGCCCCCCCCATCTCTGGGGGGAGGAGGGGGGGAGACGAAATGGAGACGAGGGAGGAGCGACGAGGAGGAAGGAGGAGGAGGAGGAGGAGGAGGAGGAGGAGGAGGAGGGGGAGGGGCAGGGGGAGTTCATGCTTTTGCGCATTTCGTCGTCGGCGCTTTTGCGGCATCCGGGGGAGTCGTAGGGTTCCTGGAAGCCTCCGGAGGTTTAGAGGCCCCCAGAGGCCAGCGGCGACGAGTCTCCGGTTGATGAGTCGGCCCCCGTTCACTTCGCAAGCACGTTGCGTTTGCTCTCGTGCGGACGCCGTGTTGTGGTCCATGTGGTGCTCTCTGGCGCGCTGTCCTGCTCGCGGGCATTGGCGGTGCGCATGGGAACGCTTCGGTGCTCCCGGCGGCCCCCCGCCGTGATGTGACCGGAGGGGGACAAAGTCCCTCTCCCGATCACGCCCGCTATCGCGAATCAGAGAGACAGGCTCTCGTTGGGCACACGGCAGTACAGTGTCAAGTATCCGTCCCAGGCCGTTGCTCCTAATGGGGGTGTCCTCGCCTCTCCTCTCACACCGGGTCGTCCAGTTTCCCTGTGCGCCCCCCTTTCCTCAGGATATGACGATTTTGGTGAGGTGCCTGGGCTGCGGTAACCGCTGGAAGGCGAGCGCTCGAGGGGGTGGAGGCTGATGAGCTAGCACTCGAGGCAGAGAACACGCGCGCTTGAGAGATCACCGGATGCGCTTGTGTTGCTGAGCTCGCACTGCCGTAATGAGAGGTTGCACTGATCATGCGCGGCGCAAGGTTTCGCCAGCGATGGGCGCATGCTCACCGACTCTTTCTGTCATCTATGTGCACGCGTCATGTTGCGACCTTTACAGTCAGCCTCCCAGTTCATACTGTCGATGATTCAAGGTCATTGGGTATTGCGGATCAGACGCAGCATCTCTTATATTTTTCAAACCCTTTTGTGTCGCAGCGCCCCCCGCGTCCTTCCGATTCCTCCTCCTTCTCCACCTCCTCCTCCTTCTCCTCTCCGCGTGTCAATTCCGGCACACACCTCGCACGCTTCGAGATTCCAGAGGGAGGTCCACCCACGGTCGCAGTGGGCGCCGACGTATGGCGTACCAACCTTCCACTCGGCGCACAATCTCAGAGCTTTCGTGGCCCCGCAGGGAGCTCCACCTACGATGGCAGTGGGTGCCGAAATATATCGTACCAGCCCTCACTTCGGCGCACCCCTCCGACGTTGAGTGGCCTCATCGGGAGCTCCATCCACGCTCTCAGTGGGCGCCGACGTATGGCGCACCGGCCCCCCACTTCGGCACATCCCTCAGACGTTTCGTGGCCCCTCGGGGAGACGTGCGGCGTAGCAGCTACAAAGTCGGCATACCCCTCAGACTCTTCCAAGCCCCATGACAAGCTCCACCTACGGTGTCAGCGGTTGCCGAGGTATGGAGCTTCTGCCACCCATTTGGCACCCCCGTCAGACGCTTCGTGGCCCCATTTGGGTCTCCACTGTCTCCACATACGGTTTTGGAGGGCGCCGCCGTCTGGCGTGCGAGCCCCCAATGCGTCACTTCCTTTCTACCGAAGGCCCCAAGCGGCACCGCCTAATCCCGGCACAGCCGAACGCTTCGTGGCCCCCATCTGTTCGAGGGTCCATCCCTCTCGCGGCGCGCTGCTTATGAGAAGCGGGCCAATTCCTGTGTGTGTTTTTTTATCGCATTTCCATGGGGTTGGTCCTTCGCCAGGCGAATCGCATTGTTGTATGCCCGTTGCTTGCGAATGCATCAGATCTGCGTGTGTCGAACGAGTAGAGATTGGATGGGTCACTAGGTGCTTGCATCGGTGACCAAGAAGTCTTTGATTCCAAAAGCTTGGGAAGGTCAGGAGCCAAGCGCATGGAGTACTAGTCCTTGATGGTGAGGGTGAGGGTGAGGATGAGGATGCTGCTGCTGCTGATGCTGATGCTGCTGCTGCTGCTGATGCTGATGATGATGATGATGATGCTGATCATGTTAATGATGATGGTGGTGGTGATGATGAGGATGATGATTCGGATTCTGGTTCTGCTTATGATTATCATAACGATTGCGCGCAGTGTTCGGTTTACAGTGCTAGGCATGGCTCACACGAAACCGAACCTTATGCGGTTGAGTGTTTGTGCCCGCGCAGGCTCCTGAGCCCAAAGGGAACTACACCTTAGAGGATCCGCATCTTTTTCCACAACACACAGCCCAGAATTGAGATGTTGACGCTTTGTTTTTCGTAGATAGTTGGGAACTTCATTGTCTGAGACAACGCACGAGATGATGGCCCTCCAGGGGGCTGCAAAAGACAGGGCAACCCCATCAGGAGAGAAAACTATCCGTTCACACTCGCCCGAGTATCAGCACAGCTCATTGTCCGTAATCGACGGCCTGCAAAATGCGGCTTCCAGGCTCTCCGATCCACGATGCTCCAAAGTGATTGGCTGCTGCCATGCTTGCGGCTCCTACTGGCACTGCTCCTCCAGTAAAGTAGGGGAACAACACGGGTCCAACATCCTCCAAGATAAAGTCGAGCGCCGTGACATACATCTCCCATTTTGCAGCTGCATGCCCATAACGATACCCAACATAGAACCCAATGCCAAGAGCAATAATCAAGCTGAGCAGCGCTTTCACGATGAACACGACAGTGCGGACAGCACACTCTACTTGTACTACCACGATTCAGGCCATATTCTTGGCAACCTCGAAGAGCGTGTCGATCCGTTTCCCCTTGGGTCTCGGGGGGCCACGCCTTGGCCCGCATCCTTGATTTTGCGGCCCATGCCCTTGGGGACCTTCACTTTTGACCACTTCTCGTTGACCTTCTCCTTGAGCTCCTCCATCGTGCCGCTCTCCAGCTTGAAGGCGTGACTGCATTCCGCGACGGTGTAGGCACGCTGGGCAGCTGTGAGCGTAGTGGCCGAGGTAACCACTGACGGCGGCACCCGCTGGAAAGGATGCTGAGGGGCCGGCGTTGCCGCAACTGCTGGCACGATAGTGCCAGTCCCCGCGGCCACTGGGGCACCAGCCTGGACCGCGTTGGCGGCGATGGCGGAGGACAGCTGTGGGGCGATCGCGTTTGCGATGATCTTGTCCTTGGTGCGGACAGTCTCCTCCTCGGACCCCACGCACTTCTTATAGCGCTTGCGACGCTTCAAGACAAGCCGCTCTGCAACTTTGATCTGGTAGCCTGTGTCTGAACTGCTCGAGCTGCTCGAACGCTGCTTGGAACTGTCTCGATCACGATCATCATCGCGGTCGACCTGCCTGGGCGGACATGTCGGCGGCCGAGCACCTTGCCCGCGAGGTTGCTGCTGACCCCGGCCGCCATGAGATTGGCCCATCTCTAGCTGCTTCTGGCTGCGTTGCAGAGACCTCAAGGGCCTTCGAGCCTGAACAACTGCAGGATACGGGGGAGTAGCCTGGTTTGACTGGCAAATATCTCAGATGGGATACTGCAGCCTTAACAATTCCAAGAGAAGTCCACGAATCAACTCCAACGAGAAACACTTAGAGAGTCGCCCCAACAACTGGCTCGAAGTCTCGCAAAAGGCGCAAAAGGCGCGGTCGACTGATCAAGCCTCGGTAGCAGGTCACTCTTCTGCTTGGATGCACGGCTAACAAGAATCTTAGCACTATTATTGTTCTTGATCATCCAACGGGTCTTCTGCGCGAGCACATGCAACTCAAGGTCGAGCCACTCACATCTACGGGCTTCGTCAGAACCGCTGCACAGCAGGACCTGGAAGAGGAATAGGACGAGGAACCTTCCGATTTTTCTGGCATGTTGCGTCCGACGCCCCGCTTCCGGCTCCACATGTGAACATCCAGCCTGCACGTGCTCCGCACTCCGACCTCCTGCCTCCGACCCCCGACTTCCCACGTCCACCTCCACCCATTGATCTCCAGCACCCATCAGCCCCGCACTCCGGCCTTCAGACTCGAGCATCCGACCTCCCGAGTCCATTCCCACCCATCGACCCCTATGTCCACTTGCTCGACACTCCTGCCTGCAGACTCCAGCATCCGACCTCCCACGTCCAACTCCACCCATCGACCTCCATCCCCCCATCAGCTCCGCACTCCGACTTCCAGCCTCCAGCATCCGACTGCCCACTTCCACCTCCACGCATCGACCCCCAGTTTCCACCAGCTCAACAATGCAACCTCCAGCATTCGACGCTATGACCTGCAGACCCCAGCATCCGACTCCCACGTCCATCTCTACCTATCGACCTCCAGCCCCCATCAGCCTGACACTCCAATCTCATCCGACTTTCCATTTCCACCTCCACCTTTCGACCACCAACACCCTCCAGAACAACAATGCGACCTCCAGTCTCCTGCATCGACTTCTCACTTCCACCTCCACCGATCGACGCCCAGCCTCCGACAGCTCAACACTGCAGCCTCCGAAAGCTGGCCCAGACCTTCAGGACGACGCTTGCGACGGCCACCCGACGCCGGAGCTGACCCTGATCCGACGCCTACAGTCGACTCCCAGCCCGACGTCGGCACGGACTCCCAGCACCGACCTGGTGCATTCGAGAACACGAAGGGAGGACAGATCGTGCCCCCCTCCCTCCCACCATCTACACCTGGACTCTTGCACGAAATCGATGCAGGCTCTGTCGGTGCGAAGCGTGAGCGAGCTGGTGCGAGCGTTGTAAAACAACATCTACAACTGGACTGGGAGCTGACTGGGCGACGGCGCTGTGGACTGGCTGGCTCTGGATGCTACGGCGGGGGCGTTCGTCAAGGAATGTGCCCAGG